AAGGAAGAAGGGATAAAGGCTAAATGAGAGTCTAGAAAAATCTTTTCCTATTTATCTTTTTATTTGCAGGTTATAGGGTTTTGAGGAATGGGTGAATTAGTGATGTGTATATTCAATATTATGCTTTTGTTGATAACAGTGTATCTTGGGCTTAATTGTTCCGTTTCTTTTGTGGACTCCATATCTAATGCTTGCTGTTGGGTTCAGTGTCTAAAGCGATTATGGTAATGGTTATTTTTCTATTCGTGAAATGTTTTACCCATTCTTAACTTTAGATTAGTTTATGTTAATTGAATGTGGTGGTGCATCAGTGTGCTTTCAGCATCTAAAAATGGCATTTAAAAAGCCCCTTAACTTTTTTTCTTACCTATGACTTAAATTCAAACTGAAAGACTGTTGTATTGTTTTTGTTTCCCCTGATAAGCTCTCATGTAAGAAGTGCTTGTAATAAAACTTGTATGTGACATCCTTTCATCTTTAAATCTGTTATTTTCTACAATGATTTATGTTCAAAACATTAATCCAAGGTTATAAAATACTGAAATACTGTTCGAATTATATGATGAAAATTTTTGTAAATTTGGAATGCCTTTAAATGTATTCAAATTTTTTGTTTTATAAAGTTTGAAGAGTTAAAACCAATATGTGGATTTTAATAATAATAAATCTATGTTATTTGTTAAACTTACTCATTTTTTAGCCTCTTAACATCATTGTTTAATTTTTCTTTCAAATGTTACCATGTAGGAAAGCTTGTATTTAATGGTGCTCAGATTCAGTACTAGCCCTGGCTAAACCTAACTTTGATAACTATAAGATTGCTCTCCTTTCTATAAAAGATTCTAAATGTTCTATATAGTATGAGCATTCATGGTTATAAGTTAGAGCCACTGCTTCATTACTGATGGGGTAAATCAGTTATCTTAATCTAGTTTTATTTAGTTACGTTTATGCTGTCCAAGTTCTTGATTTAAACTGAAAGCAGATGTTATCCAGAGTTCTTGAATCAGTCTTTCAGGAACTATTCTGTGTTACTTATTTTGGAAAAGCGAATGAATGTGGAGTTTTCTTTCTCCCTGCTAGACTCTAAGGTCCTTGAGGAAGTAGGGACTGCCATCTTAATGTTTTCATTCCCATTTCCTAAAGCCATGTCTGGCCTGCTAGGCAGTGAATGTTTATTGAATAAATGAGTTGAATTTAATTGAATGAATTGTTGCACTTTCTAATAAAATTACCCCCCTCATTTTTCCTCTCATTCTTCTCTCACTGTACCACAATGGTGTTTGCCTAATCTGAAACAAAACCTAGTAGCTATTTTTTTTTACTTCTCAGCAAGTTCAGCTAATACATTCATACTTAGCAGTAAGACATCTAGCAGTCTTACTAATTCATTGGAGGAAGAAGGGAGAATGTACATAACATAGCTAAGGATGGGTTCTGACATTATTTGAATATAGTTCCTATTAGGAAGCACTAGCAAGCAAAGCACTAGCACACATAGATTTAGATGTGGCATGAGCCCAGGATTTTTTCTTTTGATGGAAGTATGCCATTCACTTAAAGCTATTTAGTTAATGTTACACAAATTCCTTTAGGTAGGTCACAAAAATTAGAACTTTATCATTATCTAGTAACGCTGTTAGGTTAATATTTTTTTTTGGTGTATGTGTAACTCTCCAGTGCTAGGTAGTATAACATTCCTATGGGGATTCACTCTACTCTCCTTGCTGACATATTTTCTGAGGAGTCATTCAATGTAATTCTTATCTTTGTGCCTCTGTAGTGAAGTGTTTTTGTCCTCTAGCTACTTTCAATATTTTTTCTTTATCTTTGGTTTTCTATTGTTTGAATACGATATGCCTAGGTGTAGCTTTTTGGCATTTTTCCTACTTGATGTTCTCTGGGCTTCTTGGATCTTGCTGTCAGACATTAATTTGGGGAAATTCTCAGTCATTATGGCTTCAGATAGTTTTTCTGTTCTATCTGTCTTCTCCTTTTGGTGTTTCAGGTACACATATATTACATATTTTGTTGTTGTCCACAGTTCTTGGATTTTCTTTTCTGTTTCTTTTTTCTTTTTTACTGTTTTCTTCAGTCTTTTTTTCTCTTTCCTTTTCCGTTTTGCATGTTTCTATTGACTCATACTTAAGTGGAGAGATTCTTTCCTCAGCCATGTCTGATCTGCTAATGAGTCCAATAAAGGCATTCTTTATTTCTGTTATAGTGTTGTAACAACCTTAGAATTCTTTTTGAGCCTTAGAATTTCCATTTCTCTGCTTATGTTGCCCCTTTCTTGTGTGTTGTCTACTTTGTCCACTAGAGCCCTTAGCATATTAGTCATAGTTTTAAAAAATTACTGGTGTGATAATTCCAGCATTCCTGCTGGTTCTCTGGTTCTGATGCTTGCTCACTTTCTTCCAGCTGTGTTTGTTTGCCTTTTAGTATGCCATATAGTTTTTTCTTGATAGACATGATTTACTGGGTAACAGGAACTGTGGCAAATAGACCTTCAGAAATACAGTGGTAAGTGAGGACACAGTGAGGAGGTGTCGGTTACCAGCCAGGGGAAAAGAGTCCTCATCTGACCATGCTGGCCTCTTGATCTTACCAGCCTCCAGACTGTGAGAAATGAACTTCTGTTGTTTATAAACCACCTAGCCTGTGGTATTTTGTTATAGCAGCCTGAACGGATTAAGGTACCTGTGATCTCACATTTCTGAGGGATCTAAAAAGAATTGTTAATTTTTCAGTTTATAGAGCTTTTTACTTGTTATTAGGAGGAAGTAGAGCCTTCTAAGATTCTTATATACTGGACTGGAAAACATACCAAAACTGCCCTTTTGTGATCTGTTTCCTATACTGTGGCTGCTGTAGTCCTCAAAAACATAAATCTGATCTTGTCATGTCTCTACCTGAAACTTCCCATCAACTTTAGGACAAAATCCAAACTTAGTAATTTGGATAATAAAGCCTTTGTCATCCAGCCTTGGTTTATCTTTCTCTGCTAATATTTTACATTTTTACGTTACTGCTATGCTGTGCTACTCTGAACTGTTTTCCATTTTCAGTGTTCTGTATTCTCTCTCTTCCCTATCTTTTTCTTTGCTGGTCTGGCCCCCACTCATCTTTCGGGTCATAGGTTAGAAGCCATCACCTCTGGACAGCCCACCATGACTCTCCCAAGACCTGTTCGTTTGACCTTCCTTTACCCCTTGTAGTGTAGGATCACAACTAATTAGCGAAGTAGATACAATTAAAGGCCTTGGATGTAATCTGTTGGCATCCTTAAATGCTTATATGCCTGCAGTCATCATGAAGGAGCCCATACAGCTTTTGCTAGCAATGTTCCTATCTAACATTTGGAAAAGTTACATTTTGAAGCGTTTTGGGAAAGATATATAATCTATTTATTCAAAATGTTCAATCTTAAGTAGACCCAGATCAGCAAATCCATGCACCAGCCAATTGGTTACTTGCAGGAATTAATGTTAACCAAGACAAATCTCAGTGGCTTCCCAGATGCTCCTTGCTTGGTCCCAAACTTTTTGACATTGGGAAGGACCATTTAATAAATTGACAGTGTAATTTATATAACAACCTGGAAGGACCAACCGTTTAATTTAATTGACAGTATGATTTGTGTAACAACATCATGTATGTCTGATTAGTGTGAGAGGCTACTCTCCTTTGTGTCAAGTTTTTGAACTTGTAATGCACACTGAGATCTAAATTCTTTTATTTAGAGGTCCTGATTACCTTACTATTAAATATATTATGTGATGATTATACTAAGGTGTCCTTGCTGTCATGGGTGCTAAGACAAAGGTATGGGGTGTGTCTCTTCTATCCTCTTTCCCTCTTCTCCCCCCTTCCCACTCTCAACTGTATCTGATTGAATTTATATGTTTAATATACTTACAATGCTATTTCACTCTGTAAGTGTCCACCTAGATGTTTATTATATATTTCCCAATTCTGAACAGAGCTTAGTAAATCCCAGCTAGTGCTAATGAGAATTATTATTGTGGGATCTTGATTGTGTAATATCAGGGTTTTGTTCACTATTAAGACCTGTTGAGTTTACTTCTTAAAAATCAATATTCAGTAATTTTTTGTGATCAAGGAAATGAGATTAAATTAAGGTGTACTTTGTTCAGGAGTAGCTTTGTAATTAACCTGGTGCATGAACAAAAGGAACAAAATAAAATGTTTTTTTCCCCCTATTTCTCCAGATATGGGTATTGTGATGACCCCCTACCTGCTGATGTGTTTTAAAAATATTCTTAATATTTTAAAATATCAAGATAGGTCAGAAATATCCCATTTGCTATAGGTTTGTAAAGAGTCTTCTGTCTCGCATAGGCTCTAAGGTTCATATGAGAATAAGTCTGTACCTTATTCATTTTTTTATTCCCAATTCCTGTCAGTTTATTTGCCATATAAAATGTAAATATTGGGGGGCTTCCCTGGTGGCGCAGTGGTTGAGAGTCCGCCTGCCGATGCAGGGGACACGGGTTCGTGCCCCGGTTCGGGAAGATCCCACATGCCGTGGAGCGGCTGGGCCCGTGAGCCATGGCCGCTGAGCCTGCACGTCTGGAGCCTGTGCTCCTCAACGGGAGAGGCCACAGCAGTGAGAGGCCCGCGTACCGCAAAAAAAAAAAAGAAAGAAAGAATGTAAATATCGATTAAGTTAAATAATTACATATTTGATGAACTTTTAAAAATAATCTTATTTCTTACTTCCCAGGTCTTTTATATTTGACACTCTTAGCATTTCATTATTGGAGAGAAAATAATCATGGTTGTTGATGGAGGAAAATAAATGATTTAATATAGTTAGTTCTTGGATCTAATTCAACAAGTGATGAATTCTGAAGCATGCATTTTATGTTTTGAAAAAGACATAATGTTTCTTGTTATAGAATATGCGATCTTTTAAAAATAGTAGAGTATTTGGGGATAGATAAACAGATTTTTAAAACTGTATTTTTAAAAATCAGTTCATCAGGTGCTGGGAATGTAGCCGATCGTGTTTTGGCTCAGCTCTTGACAGAAATGGATGGCATTGAACAGTTAAAGGATGTGACAATCCTGGCAGCTACTAACCGTCCAGATAGGATAGACAAGGTAAGAAAGAAGCCGGTCTGGGCATTTTAAAATCAAGAACTGGATCGTTTGATTATGTTGGGGATTTTTGGGTTTTGGGTTTTTTTTCTGTCAAATTACTTTCTAATCAGTTTGCCATTTAGAGGATGCTGAAAGATTAAACTAAAGGAAATGAAGAGAACTGAGAAAAGATTTTATGTTTTTATTACTTATGTTTGGTATTAATGAAACTATTTTGTAACCCCTTGAGTTTTCCCTCCCCCATTGTTGCATTAAATTCTTAGTATATTTCCCTAGAGTATTTAAGTTCTGAAATTCTTTTTGTGTTTCATTTGATTTATTTTGAGAACTTTTAAACATTTTCATTCATTTTAAGGTAAGCTTCCGGCTATTTACTACTAGTTAGACTCAAGTTATTTTCAACAACTTTCTAGAAGTCCTGGCCTCTCAGTTGCTTTCAGAGTAATTAGAATAAAAATGACAATGGATTTTATTTCTCTTAAGAAGTTACTTAGGCTTAAATTAAGCTACATAGGTGCAAAATTAACACTTTCAAGCTATTGCTACCACTACTTTTCCCCAAGTCATATTTTAATAAATGAGTTCACTTAACTTTTAAGTGCCTAATTTATACTTAATGATCTAAACTGAGAGTAAAAATTTACTCCCAGGGCGTGAACCAGTTTCTTTCTTTTGTTGCTGTTATTGCCTCATGTCCATGACCTTATGAGCTCCTCCCTCCCTGTGCACATATATACAAACTTTCGGTTTTAACAATGGAATTTTGAAAGAAATCATCTTTTTGAAGATATGAAAAGAGGTTTTATGTGGGAAGGTACTTTGTGATAAAGTCCCTTGGTCAAATGCAGGTAAGAAAGCTTTGAACCTTAATAAGTTAAATTGTGCCCTTTCTGCTGCAGTGTTTTACAAGAAGCTAGGTAAGTTATGAGCATTTGTAGGATCTGGGTTGGTGCCCAGACATCTCTGATGTCTATAAAAAAGATAGAATTGTGTCTTGACAAGAATTACAGAAAATGCTGAGAGAGACCTTAAAGATTACCTAATCCCACCTTTTGGTTTCAATGAATCCAAGAATCATCTTTATCCAGGTAAATATACATTGTATTTTTATGACATATTTCTCCTGGTTACCCCATGGCTAATGAGCTCTAAAATTTCTTAGGTTTTTTTTCTCTACAACGTCTAATCTAATAGTGGCCTTCTTTGGTTTCTTAATATTGTATGTCTTTGATGTTAGACACATGTCTTGAAGTAGGACTTTGGGCTTATAGTAAACCTCTTGGGTTCTTCTAAATCAAGCTGTATGATTTAGCTTGTTTAGTGCTTGTATTAATTTTGTCTTGCTGTGTAACAGATTACCTCAAATTTAACAGCTTCACACAATACTTGTTTATTAGTGTTTCTGTACGTAGGTCAAAATCTGGGTGTGGCATGATGGAGTTGTCTGCTCAGGGACTCAACAAGGTGTTGGCCGACCGTTCTCATCAGGAGCTGGTATTCCTCTTCTAAGCTCACGTGATTGTGGCAGAATTCACTTCTTGTGACTATAGACCTAAGGACTGAATTTTCTTACTAGATGTCAGCTGGGGGCCACTCTCAGCTCCTAGAGACCCACATACGTGGTCCCTTCCATCTTCAAAGACAGCGATGGAGAATCTCCATCATATTTTATCCATCTTATGCTTTAAATTTCTATTGCTAGGAAAAGCCTAGTCTCTTTTGAAGTCTCACCTGATCAAGTTAGGCCCACCAAGGAAAATCTCTCTACTTTCAAGTCTGCTGGTTCAGGATCTTCATTACATTTGCAAAAGCCCTTCCCAGTAGCACCTAGTCCAACATTTGATGGAATAACTGGGAGAAGGTGTGTGTCTAGCAGAGGACCAGAATCTTGTGGCTGAGCAAAATCCTTTCTACCACAGTGCTCTTCAGCTTCTTCCCCAACCCCTATGTGAGTTCTCTTCTGGGCACTAAGAACAACTTCCAACTTTCACAGAGACCAACTTATCTTTGCCAGTCATTTGATTGGCTACAAACCTGCTCCTTTGAAATGTCCTTTTCTGTGGATTCTATCTTTTCTCAGATGGAGCATTTCTCCACCTTGCCTTGTCCAGATATGTCTTTCTTCAAGTTATACATATACTCTCTCTTAAAATAGAAAAGGATAAATGAATTTAAACTCCTTTATTTTAAGGATACATTTTTCATGTTCTTTATATGTATAACACGTAGTAAGCCTATTATTTAATACAGTAGAATTGTTGACTTACCTCTTTTGCTTACTTTTCCCTCTGTAAGACCTAGATTGAACCCCAACTGTTGTATTTTGCAGTAAGGTGAAATTTATCCTAGGTTTTACCTATACCTGATACAAAAGACCCCAAGAAATTTTTAATATAAACCTAGAGATAATAAGTTATCTTGGGCCACTCTAAGGTTTTGGACCTTTTTTCAGCCTCATCTTAGAATACGTCAAAACCCCAAAGATAATGGTAGATGACTTCCATTCTTTCTGGGATACTTTAGTCTGTGGATATCTTGGCTCTCTTGGAGAAAATGATTAACTGGATTTTAGGCAGAACTTGTCTCCGAAGGTGGGAGATTGAAGGGATGGAAGTGGTTCTTTTTTACATTTCTTTGTGCATTGTTTTAAATATGTTTCTTACTAGCTAATAATATTTGCCTTAGAAGGCAGATGCTGTGTTTTATTATGTCAACTCATAAGTGACAGTCTCCAATATCACAGTTTGAGAAATTAAAGTTTGGAAAATATCTTGCCAAAATTCTAGTCATATTTTTGATCCTTTATAAAATGTTACCTTTAATACCTTGGTTCTCAAACCACCTAATTGTCCAAAATAAGTGTTTTAAGTACCAATATTATTACACACTGGTAACATCTTTTGACTGATTAACCTTTGCTTCAGGAGGCTTCAGAGAGAAGTGCAAACATATACAAACACACACATATATATATGTGTATTTATATGTATGCTTGTATGTTTGTGTATATCCATGCATCATATATATACACACATGTTCATATATATACACACATGTACATACATTGATTAGTTTTAAAAATTAGGAATCCAACATTTTTTAACCAGCTAATCTTGGATGAGCACACTTAAATTAAGATATTGAAAGTGTTTGTAATTAGATACAAAGACTCAATTTTCTAGGTCAGGGGATCTAAAGACCTTTTTAATTTACTATTCAAAATTTTCAAAATTTATAATGTTTAATTTGTAATAGATGAAATAATATAATTATGACTGGCAGTAAAACATAAAATTGGTAAATGGAAAAAGTATTTTTAAGTGGTAAAGCAGTGCCTTCAAGATCATCAAATGATATGCTATGCTTTCAAGTACAACTTTGAATTTAGTACATTGAACCATGGTCTAAATTCTGCATATGTCTGTAATTGTACAAAAAAACACTACTTTAAATAATCAGTGATTTTTGTAAAAAATATTTTAATCGTTTTCTATTTCAGGTAGAATTCCATATTCATGTGTAGTGTGAATTTTTTGTTAACTGTACTTCTGTTATTACTCAGATGGTATAAACTATATCAGAAGTATATTTTCTAGATCTTTTTCTCTGAACTGTTATACAGCATTATTTGTGTATTGTTTAATAGCACTATAAAAAAAGTTTCAGCACATGTGTGATTAGAACATGGTGTTCAAACTGTGCCCTGAATGTGCCGTTAGAAACAAAGCAGTCTTAAGAGATGATTTTTTTTTAAAAAAAAACTTCCTTTTATGAAATGAATAGACATAGTTTTCACCACCTGTCTTTTCTGGAGGAAACGGTAGTAGGAAGAGAATAGGCAACAGGAGAATTAAAGTAAATTTCCTGTGCTGATACTGAAAGATAGAGATTTTGTTTTTGGCTTAAAACTGGAAAGAAAAAGGACTGTTCTAGTGTGAAAGAAATAATGCATTTAGTCTAACTTTGGCTACATTTAATTCAGGTGTTTGGCCTTATAAATTAGCTAGCTTACTTTACAGTCCTTTTGCCTATTAACCCACAACCTCTATGTCATGATGACCTTAGGTTAGTATATTGGAACGGAGAGAATTCTTGGACTGTCAGAGGAGTGAAATTGATATCATTATGTGACCCTTATGTTGCACATTTTTCGTGTCTTTTTTGGACAATATTTCAGTTTCATATAGTCTGGGGCAACTAAAGCTGGAGCTTCCTGGGGCTTCAGCAAGGGAAGTGAGACACATAGCTCGAGAATCACATTATCCTACTTCCTGCTATGTCGTATTTACATGTCAAACACAATAGCTGTGATGTAGCACACTAGGCTGAGTAAAGTGATTGCTTGGGGTCTCCAGTGGTATCCTGAAGTCTCCATAGACCTTTTACCCCCCTACCCTCCTCCTTCAGCTTATAGATAAGTGAAGAGAAGTTGCATCCTTAACAGTCCATTTTGCATAAGAATGACAGGATATGAAGGACAGATGAAGATTAATGAGATTGTGATGTCAAGTAGTTACATTGTCTTTAGGTTGATGATGGCCTGGATTTCCACAGCATCAGGAGACTTCAGAGCAGCAAACAACTAAATTATTTTTGATGTCCAAATAATAGTTAAAAGCCTGAACTCTAGGAGTTTGTATTATTTTTTGTTAGGCTATTGCTTACATAGCCCCTTTTAGAAGAGTATAGTGTTCAATCCATGGTATTTCATGTATTTGTGTTGAATATTAAGGAAGAAATGATCATGTCTTCTTATCCTAGTGTTAAACAAGCTTCAAAATTGTTTAATTTTATGAATATTTTAAAATTGAGTCCCTTTGGTTACTTTTAGTACTGATGCTTGGTATATAATAGGCTCTCAATAATGATTACTATTGTAATTATTATCTCTAGCCTGAAACCTGGTTTTCTTATAATAATAAATTTGTAAAATTTTAAAAATTCTGCTCTGAGACATCCATGGAACAGATTGCTCGATTTTTTGTAAGTTTTGTAGAGGT